ATAAATAATTTAATCAACGTCGTTTTCTGTTTTTTTTTTTTTGTTTGTTTGTTTGTCTATTGCTGAAACAGCTTTTCTTAACAATGCCATTTCTTAAATTACTTAAGGTATGGGAATTTCTTATGTGTATGATGTTACTTCTTTAGTACCCTTTCAATAATCGTATGAGATTCGGCAAAGGCAAACTACAAATTTCTTTTTGCATGTTTGGCAAATCAAAAAGTAGCAAATGGAATCAACAAAATTACAATTACTTGCTAGTGTTCTTATATGGGCCTAATGAGTGTAGGATTGTAGACAGCCACTGGGTTATGCGTGGAGGCGGACCATGGACAAGGCTCGTGCCGGAGAAGTGGGCTACGACCGCAAGAGTTAAGGAGCCACTGCTTTTGAGTTTGATGAGCAGTCTCCTTTGCAAAGCCCGGTTTTTGAAGTCATAATCAGCACCCTTGGCCTCGCTGAGTGAGCCAGGAGTAATGAGACCGTTTTGAAGTAAGGTGGGGTTTCAGTAACTTAACGTAACAAATGTGACGATAAATCAGAATGTATATAAAAAAAGAGGGATACATAGTACATTCGTATGTCAATCAACCTTATGTATGTGTTGATGTTGATTGATAGGATTTTTTTTTTTTTTTTTTTTTTGCTTCCGGGTCGTGCCCTATAACTTCACAATGAGCAATTCTTTACAGCATATTCCTCTACATTGATCTTTGTTAAATTTTTGCTTAATAGGCTTAGGACCATTTATTGCAGTTTTGTTTTATCAGAGATATCAATGCTACTACAGTTATATCAATAATGACATTGGTAGCATTATCACTATCAGTAAAGTTCTTGATAGTGTCTTTGTTCTCGTTATTCTTCACGCCATTCGCATCGCTGTTTTGACTGTCACAGTCATCACTGTCGTTACTAGAATCTTGGCGACTGCCTCAAACCCAGTCACTCGCATGCCATGCATCAACGAGTCTGACTTCCCTGCCTACCTTGTGCTCCGAGCGACCTCTTCGTCCGCTCCGGCGACCATGACCTTGGCTCCCACGGGGTCAAAACACCATTCCCGACCTTGGAAGATGGCGTCCTAGCCTCGTTCGCCTCTTGCCAAGTAGTCTCCTGAGCCATCACTCCTTCGGAAGGCCTTCCGGAGGCGCCGTGGCTCCAGACGGATAAAAAGAAGAGGAGGGCGTGAACCTCCATATTTGGTGCGCTCTGAAAAGTTCAGTTATTTAGCTGTCGGTTCTTTTGATTTCGTTAAGCATTGGTCATTCACCTTCGACTTTTCATTCTCCAGATACCATTTTAAGAAAAGGGGTATAAAAAATGTGTTTCTCATATGCCATATATGTTTACAATCAAACGAATAAATAAAATCACAAATACAGCTCGCAAGATGTTACAATTATACTGATGCGAGACTTGTTCTTAGAAGGGGGGCGTGTCACGGACGACTATCTAGGCCGTGCGCCGATTAATTCTGTCCAGCCTTTCTTGATAATTATACAATTAAAAAAGGCTGTGAAAGAAATAAATAGTTGATTTAATAAATATGTAAAGGAAAAGTTTCGTATACAAGAGCAAGCTAATAAATATACAAATGGCGGTCTCTTACGAGGAGATGATTCACAGTGCTCACATGCGCAAGTGCTAGGGTGGAGTGACCGATTACCCCCCCGGTGGCTATGTTGTGGAGGACCACCGCGCATGCGCAATGCGTAAGGGATGGTACTTACAAACGTAAATAAATATAACTTCAATAAGGAGCATTTTCCTTTAAATTTAATGTATAATTAATACATCATAAGAAATACAATTCCTTGACATTAGCAGTCATGTAAAAAAAACTTATCTTTTCATGGAGACATGTATATAGGATTTATGTTATAATAGATGCGGAGGGTGTTACTTCATTTGCCCTCATGGCCGGCACAGGAGCCAGGAAATTAGGATAAAAAGGGATCGCAGTAACTGATTAACAGGGCGATGAATTCCATAGTATTTTCTATTGATATTGTTATGATCATCATCAATGTCAGAGTTTCACTGTCATTCCTACGGATAATCTTAATCTGATCATTAAGATCACCAAATTATCGCTATTATCATTACACATTGCAGTTATCATCACTGTCAAAGGTAACCTGAACTGGTCACACTGCACATTTCGCTTGGACAGTTTTACCTGCACTATGCCGAGTTTCATGTTACGTGTTAGGGAACAGAACAGGGCGACGCTTCGTCATACCGGAAGCCGTGAGACAGCGTTTCTCACAGATTCCATTGCAGCACAGATTCCACTCACTTTTTCTGATCCCCCAAAAGACCACTGTGGTACTTGGTTAATAGGGAAATGTCCTCATATCTCAGAGAAGTACATTTCACAAGGCCAACTGGCATGAGTGTCATGCAAAGCACGTGAACACAAGAAGAGCATTCCTCACCTCTGAAGCGAAGAAGACTTCCCGGAAAGACGCGAGCCCGGGCGACGCCAGCGAGGCAACTGAACCGCTGCTCACAAGGCAGCAGCTCGCCCCAGGGACACGCGAAGCAGCTTTCGCTTTCTAAAACCTGCTTGCACCGTCACAAAAAGAACATGAATGGCTCGAGTAACGCTAAAATATCTTGTTGGTACATAATAAATAACATTTAGAGAAATTTATAACCAAGCAATTGTAGGTGTGTGAATGAATAAAAAGTATAAAAAAGATCAAACTTGTATTTACCAATCATAATGATATTTATATACATACATACATATATGTGTGGGTGTGTGGTTGTGTGTTTGTGCGTACATATGTATATATGCGTATATATGCATATATATTTATATAAGTCAGACTTATTAAGCGTTTTCATGTTTTCAGGAAATTAGCACCTCTTTTCAAATTAAAATTAATGTTATCAAGATTCTAATTGGCATTCTAATTTTCATTATCATATCATTATCATCATCATCACCATTATTATCATCACTATTATTATTATTATCACTATTATTATTATTACTATTATTATCATCATCATCATCACCATCATTGCTATTATCATCACTATTATTTTTATAAATATCATTACTGCGAATATGATCATAATCATAATTATTCCTATTATTATAATCATAATTGTGTGTGTGTGTGTGTGTGTTCCGTTCACATCTAGAAACTTGATTGATTTTGGAACCATAAAATTCACATGCTTTGATGACCAACTCTCATACATCAAATGACAAAAGCCCACAACACTAATCTTGCCTTGTGGTTGTTACAAAACACGATATTATCGTTTATATAGACATACAAAGTTTCGGAAAGAGGAGTTATTTCTCTTAATTTCATATAAAGCCAATAGTAATCCATTAAATTATTTGATATGCTGGTATGCTTTTTAATTACAAGCAAACCATTGTGGAAGCCTCAAACGAATGATAAAAGTACCTGACTTCCCTATCACTTCTTTTGTCTAGACACAGCGCTCTTCGCTTCGTACGGCTGTGGAAACCTTCGACTGCATTTCTCAGTTTCAGTCATCATTTTCTAATACATTGTTCTTCAGATGGAAAGTGGAATTTGGATAATGTTTTGCTTCTTATCATACTCATTGCGAGCGAGTTCCGTGTTCGCATAGAATTCGACTTAATAATTCTAATGATTAACAGATCAAGATACACAGTTTTCAACCTATAAGGTTATATCAAAGAGGATCACAGAGGTACAGCACGATTTTGTAGACATTCATCCCATCGAATACCACGTCATACGCATCAGGCACGTTGCAAATTCTTGCCATGTTTCATCGACCATCATTATTGGCTTCTAATTTTACCAATATAGAGAGAACATATATTTTCCGTACTGTTAAATAGGCGCAGAGACATTTTATGGACCTTTGTATGAGAATTTTGTATCAAGAAATATACGATGCAGTTTATAATTAATGAAAATATTACCTAGCTGAGGCGTATGGGTAATATGTCAGGGAGAGCTCTGATTGGCTGGTTGGAGTATATCACATTCAAGGTAGAGGCATAGAAACTGGTATAATCCCAACAGATTCCAATGATGTGCGCGTCAAGGGCAAGCATGTACCAGGGTGCATCAAAGTGCCAAGGGTTCGGAAATGTCACAGAGATGCCTTTAAATGTTTTTGAAGTTTCAGCTATATTAAGCTTGTCCAAGAATTGTCATATGAGATTTGCATATGCTATTTATGCAGATAATTCCTTAATTTCGCTAAGGTATTGCATTGATATTACTCATATGAAGAAATATACTACTACAAACTCTTTTCATAAACATTGTATTAGCCAAACGGCTATTTGGCTTTTCTTCTTCTTCTTCTAAAGGCAGAACCTCAGAATCTCTACTACAAATTCCTCAAATCAGAGTTTGATGTTCATGATGTACGTTGGCGTTTTTATCAGCTTTGATCTTCTGCTAGCTAGAGACTTTCTTTCTATTGAGCTAAATGCTGTTGTACTAAATTTGTTATACTTATACATTCCTTTTGACTAGCCGGTGAAAAATGAGGGTTCTTCTTGCACAAGGCTAGTCATTCCCCCAAAACACTTCTGAATTAAAATCTGCTAACAAGTCAGCTATCAGTAACTAATGAAAATTAATGAGTTTGCATTGTGCTAAATATTTTCATATCTAGTGGATCCAGGGAAGATCATATAATTTATATGTGTTTTTTAGACTAAAAGTTTAATGATACTTTGTCTGTCTCATATTTGTGTGAAAAATCAAAGTTTAAACAAAGTACACATTGTTTATGTGAATATTTCCGGGGAAAAGGGTCCATAGCTTTCATCAGGTCCTTAAAGGGGTCCGTCACCCTAAAAAGGTTAAGAACCACTGATCTAGAGGATATGACGTAGCAGTGTTGATTTGTTTGAGAATATCAGATGAAGAATACAATGCAATGGTCATGACTTCTAATGATTTATTAGTAAATCATATTGGTTGGATCACGTTGTAATAAGTTTCGAGCGTATCCAGAGGATGTATAGTACACTCAAAAAAAAAACTTATACACATTTTAATATAAACACTATATTTCATATTATTTCAATGATCATATATTTAAGATCGAAATTGGAAGAGCTGGTATATCTAAGATGTTTTCTTAGTCTCATATCCATATGAATCTTAATCTCAACTACACATATCCTTTCTACATAAACGTGTTTAACTGTCTCGAAGTAGCTCAATCGTGTTCAATGTATAGAAAACAGAGTTTACATATAACTTCGAAGCGCTACAATAGGTTATTGTGTGTGAAGACTGAAAATTTATAGCGGGCTCTGATCAGTCCCGATGTAGTTTTGTCTCATAATATCGTTGCCAACTAGCCAATATTATATCTCATTATTGCACACTCCTATAGAATAAATGACCCATTATCATTTTAATACTGAGCGTTAGATATTTAAATGCTAATCACTTGGTGTTCCTTAATGATGAGCCCGGTCTAGATTATGATCTGTTACAAACCTATTTACCATTCGCGACTTAGAATAAGTACACATGATTCCTTCGTTTCTAAGTGTCACATCTATGTTCATCGAGTAAGCAAGGACCAATATAAGTGCTCGACTAGTTAAAGCTGTGGTGGGTCTTTAACCAGCTCTGCACACCTCGTCAGAGTATTTCCTAGTACAATAGTTAATCCTTATAAAAAAACATGAAAAGCAAAAAAGGGAAGAGAAATTAGAGAGTAGAAGACAGCCTAGACATATAGTATATTGTAAATATATTTATTTATAGCTATTTCCTTAATAATTTTTATAATTATTTTTATTTTACTATTCCAAGTGGATATAGGTTATTCGATCATACGCTTATAATATATTTAGGCATTATCCCTTTTTTGTCGTGCTCTCGTACTCTTGTAACACACTAACCCACCACACACACACTAAACCCTAAAATACACACCGACGCACTATCTCTAAACTAGGACACAACCTAGTGAATCAATATATAACGACGCCATATATGATATACACGCTACTGACTAACGCTACTGCACGCACCGCACCGCACCTTGCACTCAGCCACGCCATATATATAATCCCTGCCCATCAGAGGGTAATCTGAGCTCGAGAATACAGGCACATCACATTTATGTATATGTATTATTTATGTTTATTATTTTCTAGTGGTTTCACTCTACTCTTCATCATCGTAATATTGTGAATGATATTCTGATGACTAATAATTGATTATATAATATTCAACATCTTTTGGAAAAATATAAAAAAAATGTGATATATATTTATCTAATTGTATTATTGACCATACCATAATATATAGTAATTAATATATATACCCTTAATATATATATATAATATATACTAAATACTACTAACACTACACTACATACAACACATCACACACACTACACACACACTATATTTAATATATATATATTATATTATATATTTTATTAATTAATATTAATACATATATTAATATATATTACTGTGCCTATATGAGTTGTGTGTGTGATGTACAATTACATAAATCAAACAATAACTATATTAAATATATTTATATATATATAATAATATAGATATATATATATATATATTAATTATTAATATTATTAAATATAGTATATTATGTGTTAGTGTATGTGTATTGTGTGTGTGTATTAGTTATGCGTTGTTGGTTGTTGTGTGTGTGTGCGTAGTGTATGCATTTGAGTTAGGTGTAGTAGAACATGCTTGATTACAGTGTGTGTAGCATTAGTGTGTGTGTCATAATATACCATGATACATGTGTGCGTGTGTTGTGATTGAGCATTATGATCGAGTCCGTTGTACAGTGCCGTGTGATGTGTAGTTGCCGTAGTTGATAGTATTAGTTGTATGCTTGATGTTGTAGTGTTGTGGCGTTTGTATAATGTTGTTAGTGCCGTGATGTGTGTATGTATGTGTGAGTGTATATAATATGTGGGATGATTATAGTGTATTTAGGTGTCACATCACCTTACAATATCTTAACATAAATTAACAAGAATTTAAGTGAGCGTAAAGTATAGGCACTATGTATATCATATATATACAATACATAAGTAGTCCATGATCGCCGTGTGTCCGGTGTCTGTGCGTGTGTGCATGTGTGTGTGTGTGTGCTGTGTGTGTGATGATGATAGTTGTATAAAATGAGTAGGATCATTCTAAGAGGCCATATGTATTTTTGATTGTGTGAGTGTGTGTAGATTAGATATGTATGTCATACATCTACACACACACACACACACACACACTCACACAAACACACACACACCACACACACACCTACACCACCACACATATAGTCTGATTGTCTCCATTTATAAAGAATAACCTAATAATAACCTTGTTTAGAGTGAGAAGTTCAGTAAGGCCGTTATTCGTTAATGGAAGAATAGTTATTACGAAGGGTAGGTTATAGAATAATAAACTACGTTATCCACTCTTGATAAGTTTAAGTATTATACTAAAGTATATGTAAT